TTTTCCATATTTTTATACATTATACCTAATTTTTTGGAGTAATATACTATCGATGTAGCATCTTTAACCAGTTCTCCTGTAGGTCTGAAGCATAAGTGTATTTTAGACGTTTTGTCCAGATTTGCTCCCATTCCCTCAGTTGGATCATTCTTCCAATATTTTTGGCCCATAGAATCATAGAGTTTTTTATCTCTTCTGATTCTGTTGCCCAACCAATTAATTTATTATATAATCTTGTGGTTACTTTCTTTTCATCAGTTAATGTTTTATCCCAGAATTCCTCATTGTGGCTGAATCCCATTTTTTTTGTCCAAATTGTAGTACTCTAATTTGTATGTATTGAAACTAGGATACGTTTTTATACTTGCACGAAATATCCTCCTGATTTTTTAACTCAAAAGACCTTCCTCTTTTAATTAGAATGTCCTTGAATGTCGGTCAATGGGTCCATCCTAGCAGCCTTCTTTGGTTTGCTTCAAGGGGTGAAATCCACAATGAGGTTCTACTAAATAGATATTCCCACACCTTTATTAAGGACAACCTAATGAAATTATTTACATTTTTTTCCACTTTGGTTCCACCATACCACAAATATGAGTGCCACCCTTTACGTAAATCAAAACCCTCTAGAGTCAGTGTTTTAATTTTAGATAGTTTTATCCAGTCTCGAACCCACATCAATGCACATAATTCGTAATAAAGTTTTATGTCTGGTAGACCAAAACCTCCTTTGTTTTTTAAGGTGGTCATGATTGTGAACTGTATTCTAGATTTTTTTATCCTTCCAGGTAAATTTTGTGATGTCCTTATTGCAATCTTTAAAAATTTTCATATTTCTTATTATAGGTAAGTTTTGAACCAAATATAGCATTTTGGGGAGTAGATTCATTTTAACTGCTGCAATCCTACCTAGCAGTGATAGATTCAATATTTTCCAAGTATCCATCTCTTTTTTAATTTCTTTCCATTTCTCTATATAATTTCTCTTTCCATTTCTCTATATAATTATTCTTCAACAAGTGTAGATTTCTTGAGGTGATCCAAATACCTAAGCATTTGATCTTTCCTACTATTTTAATCCCAGATATTTCCTGTATTTTCTCTTGTTTCTGTCTAGAAATTTTTTTTCAAGATCATTGTTTTAGTTTTATTAATTTTTAGACCTGCTATCTCTCCAAATTCTTGAAATTTCTCCAGCCATGTTAATATGCTCTCTTTTGGGTTTTCAATAATACAGATAATGTCATCTGCAAAGTCTCTCAATTTAATTTCTTGTTTATCAGTTTTTAGACCTGTTAAATCTATATCTTCTCTTATGTTCTTTAATAAAATTTCAAGTGCAAAAATAAAAATCAAAGGTGATAATGGGCACCCTTGCCATGTGCCTTTTTCTTTTTGAAATTATTCAGTTCTGTTTTGAAAACATATTTTCTTTATTATTAAAAAGTGTTGTTTAGGGTTTCATAGACATATAGGTCTACCAAATTTAGGAAGGGGTGCAGCTGTTGTATCAGTCAAAGCTGATAATAAACACTTCTGACTACCTGAGCTGACATTTGGGGAGTCAGATCTAGGAGTACTGTCATTCAGGGGAAGTGTAACCCCATCCAGGACAGATTGACATACCTCCGTCCCCAGATTAGCACCTGTTTTATCTGGATTCATTTTCAATTTGTTTTTCCTCATCCAGCCCATTACCTCCTCATGGCATTCATTCAGAGGAGACACTATCCTTACTGAGGCTTTTTTTGAAAGCATGGAGAAATAAATTTAGGTTTCATTTAGGTTTCATTAGCATACTAATAGCATCCTGCTCAATGCCTCTGGATGAAATCTCCCAGTAATGCCATGTAATAGTTTTGGTTTTTTTTTGTTTTTGTTTTTTTGTGGAGCAGTGATCCCAAAGCACCACCATCTGGAACCTGTCTGAGAGGTATGTCTGAGACCACTGCAGCATAGTGCTTCCAATTCCCAAACCCCACTGGTGTTCCAGCTGGCTTTCTTTCCCACATTGTTCCTATGCCAGTGTTCTCTAATTAAGAATCAAGGATTATGGGAAACTTAATCTTCTCAACATTTTCAGATGCAACAAGCTGTGTGTTATGGGATGGCCTTTGTGGAACTCCATTTTGCCAGCCCTTGAAAATGGAGGGGAGACGACATCTACTAATGCCACATATCTTTTTTAGAAGTGTACCATATAACCTTTTTCAAGACTACCTTGCAAAAGATTGTAGCTATATAAACAAGCCTAAGGAAATCATCTTAGAAATATTAGAAACCTGTTTAAAAAATGTCAGCACCAAAACAAAGCTTGGAATGGGAAAAAAGATTAAATATCCTAGATAATATAGAAGAACATAAGTATTCATTGCCATCTTTTTATTAAGCAACACTGCAATTCAGATTTCATGTTCTGAGGGCTTTAATGTTTTTGTGTGTATGTATGTATCACAACATGTCTGACCATTGTTTGGATAAACAAAAATTTGTGTAGGCAGATAAGGACAATGCATCCTCAAGTGATTGCTTCAGATCATATTTTTTGGAATATTTAAAATATTTAAAATAACTGGTTTTCTATTTAATGATTGCATCACAAACTTTCATCAATATAAGAATGAGAGACAGAGAGGCACTGTGACTGGAATTCAGTTCTCCCAACAGAAGATTGTCTATTCACAAGGTCAGTGCTTATGTTTACTTTCATTTTCATTTTACAAATTCTGATATATGGTGTTCTAAATTTAAGCAATTAGATTTAGGAGGGAATTGTTCTTAAATCATTATATTATTTTAAAAAATCAACCTTATGTTTCTGTGCACAACTTTACTTACATCATTAGTTATATATTTTGTTATATGGTGATAGCAAGAAAACAGAAATCAAAATATATTATAGAATATTAAATGGCATATATTTTATTTGTTTCTGAAATGTATCAGTTTCATAAATAAAATAAGGTATTGTGATATGCTTAATTTTTTTTGTGCTCCATACAATTAAAGTATTTTGATATTACTTTAACAGCCATGATTCTGGGATCTATAATTTAGATCAACTGATTGGCCAGACACAGATTTTTTACACTTTTAAATATTGCAGCCTATTTACCTGATAAAACATATTTTGCTGTCTAGATATAGATCATTAGCTTTGAGTGCCTCAGCCACTTCTATGGTTTGGTAACATTAATCACACCCTCATAGGAAAGGAAGCAAACTAGACTGGTGTATAAGTGTTTATGGAAACCACTAGATCTGATGCTAATAGTGGTAAGATTGAGTGGAACAAAATCATTCCATCTTACTATTATTAGTCATTACTCTGCACAAATTAACCCATGCAAAACTTCCTTAGCTTGGATATCTAAAATTCTTAGATTTAAAATTATGTTTATCCAGTGAAATTGATGTTTCAGATATATAGGATGCTGTTGTGTCTTTTAAAAGAAATGTATCTATTTCAACTAAGGCACATCTATACTGACTTAATTTCCGGCATGCTGGATACCAGATCAGCCCCTATAAGTACCCCCACAGGAATTCCCCAGCCACCACAGAGACAGGAGGGAGTCCACACCATCCAGCAGCAGCAAACATGGTTTTGCATCACTCACTGGGTGGCCACCCTAAATGCACCCCTCACCATTCATGTCACTGCAGTATCCAGCTGTAACATGGGACCGACCTACCTATTCCCCATCAGTTGCCCTGATATCAGCTACAGTGGAAAGGGAAAGAGGAGTTGAGGAAATCCTCAACTCCTCTTTCTCACTCAGGTCTTCCCAGTGCTCCCAAGATCCCAACTGCACCCAAGCAAGAAAATGATAACAGGTAGATCCTAGTTTGTGGCTGGAGATTACTGCAGCAAAGGGCAGCATAGGGAGAAGTCACCTGCTATCAACTTCTCCCTATGCTTCATATGCCCAGGCTGCTGATTCCATAGATTCAACAGAACGTGGGGATAATTGTGGCTGGTTTCATTTGGGAACTGGATCACCTGTCCCATCTTGCCCTAAGTCAGGGGGAACTCTGAATTCTAAGGCAGACTTTAGGTGATGCAGGGAAAAGTCATATTATTATGGTCTTGCCTCCCATTACCGCAGATCATCCCATGTGGTGTTTGCCCACTGCACGGATGATTGTCATCTACACCATCCTAGGTGGTCAGGATAGATTGGTCCTATTATAAAACAGATAAAGCTTTTTGGGTGGTATAAGATGTAGCTTTCTTCAGTGATCACCTTTTTTTCATCAGATATATTTGCAATATATTCATTTTTCATCAGAATTTTGTTAGCAGTGTTGAGTTACACATATCCTTTTAAATCACATTGTGGATACTGAATTTATCTGAATGACACTGTTTTTAGATTCTGCATGTTGCAAAAAGGCAGTACTCTTGCAACCTTCAGTTCAACAGTGTATTATCTTGGAACCATTCCTATTTGGCCTCTGGAGAGAGAGAAATGAAAAGGTCAGAGAGGATGACAATGGAATAACAGTTAATTTCTGGATACATTTCAGGGATATGCTTGGAGATCATACAATGATAACACTTGTGTGAAAAAGACTATTCATGTTTCAAATCTCTGCCTGGGTAGAGAGGGAAAGAATACAACAGTTATACCATAGCTCTTCATTTTGTCCTCATAATAATGAACATCTATGATGAAGTGATGGCCTTGGGGACCCATACAGAAGATATGGGAACGTGTGGCCCTAAAGTGCATCCTTTCCTGCAAGGCTGTTTTTAGAGCATATTTCTTGCTGAGTTGTGAGTTGGCCAACAGAAGAAAATCTGCAGAGAGAGAGAGACATGATGTTTTTGCACATAGTGATAGAGAGACCGGTTCTTCCTAAATTGTTCCAGCTGGTAGATCTTCTGGTTAGGATTGTACTTGGCATACATAATCAATTGTGTATTCTCTCTCTTTTTCTTCCCAGGGAGAAAAGTGAAGAAATAATTACTTGGAGATCTGCCATTTATTCGAAAGATGACAGATGAAAGTAGAGACAATGGTTTAGAGCAAGAACCTACACAATATATTTTGGCTGGATATCCAGATGTTATGCTGTATCCCTTTGCAATGTTAGGGATTCTGATAATATTATATTATCCTGTTCTTGTTTCAGTCCTTGCAATGTACATTGGCAGTACAATCTGTGTCATTTGTAGGAAAATCTGTAACCTTCCAGAAGATACAGATAATAAACTATGGGACAAGACAAAGAAAATCCTGACAACTCTGGCCTATGTGTTGGGAAAGATATTACATGGTAAGCATGAATTCCACAGAATCTTTGAAAGGCTAAATTTCAAAAGGTTCTCTGATGCAGTAGTATTTTGATTCAGAACAGGAATAAGAATCTAATTTATTTCTTATTTTCTTGAGTATGCCATTAATTTCAGTGCATTTTTTTCTGGTTAGGGGAGCCATAGATTTCATTAGAATTTTACTTTCAACATGACCTTTTTTGAAAGGCAAATGATGATACCTTTACATTTTCTCATTAAAGATACACACACACACATATTTTTATTTATTTATTTATTTATTTATTTATTTACTTGCTTACTTACTTACTAGATTTACACCCCTCCTTTCTCACCTAGCAGAGGACTCAAGAAGGCTTACATATATAAGCAGTGACTCAATGGCATACAACATACATAGTAAAATAAACATATAAATTAAACAGTCATTAAAACATATCAAAACATTAATCCAATATCATAGTCCACAATTTTACCATTTGGCCTCCTTTATTATTAAGATATAGAAATTATGAGATCTATAATAATACTGAATACACGGCATGTTGTTCCTCGATAGGTTATGAAATTTGTGGAATCGAAAACCTTCCAAAAGGACCTGCTGTTCTTGTTTATTACCATGGAGCCTTGGCAATGGATCAGTACTTATTTATGTTTACACTCTATAGAATTACAGGGAGATTCTGCTTTTCTGTGATGGACCATTTCCTTTTTCATCTACTAGGTAAAAACAAATAAAAACGTATAACTTTGTGGAAAATTATATGCGATGAAAATGATCCCCTTTCATATCATCATATAAAGCTATTTGGATATTTTTTTCTAATTTATTCTCAAAATTTCTTTATTATTGTGTGGAATCTTCCATTTATTGAACATATAATGTGGCTGAAGTTGTGCACAGAATTTCTTTTTTTAAAAAAAAATTAACAGTATTAAAGTGCAAAATCACTGACTAGACTGCATGCAAGCTGAGATGGAGGAAATGTGTGGGCAGTAGAAGCCACATAACCTTTTCCCATCTGTTGATTTTTCCATGCAGGGAGGAAGTAAAATAAAATAAATTTATCCTATTTTATCTCTTTACAAAGCACTGCCCTGAGGTGCCGCTTTCTTCTTTAGGTAGAAGGATTATTATTATTATTATTATTATTATTATTATTATTATTATTATTATTATTATTATATCATGTCAGAAGCGAATTGAGAATATACTGCAAGTCGCTTCTGCAGTGAGAGAATTGGCCATCTGCAAGGACATTGCCCAGGGGATGCCCAGATGTGTTACCATCCTGTTGGAGACTTCTCACATGTCACCACATCTCATGAATTTGAACTGCCGACCTTCAGGTCTTTCGGTCAGCAGTTCACCCAGCACAAGGGTTTAACTCATTGCGCCACCATGGCTCTTAGGTAGGAGGCATTGGAACAGGATATAAGGACTTTGTATCTGCCTCTCTTTTTTATCCATAATCTTTTTATGTCAATGTCTTTGGAAATATAAACATGAGCTGAACAAGTAGGGAAAATATGCTGCTGCTCAGATGCATCCTCTTTCAAGATACACTGTAGAATTAATGTAGTTTGGCACTACTTTAACCGTCAAGACTCAATGCTGTGGAAACATGGGAATTGTAGTTTGGTGATACACCAGCACTCTTTAGCAAAGAAGGCGAAAGACCTCGTAAAACTACAACTCATGTGGCTCCATAGCATTAAACTATGGCAGATAAAGTGGTGTCAAACTGCATTAATTCTATAGTGGCTAGCAGGGATTGCAAAATACATAGAGAAAAGACTCACAGCAATTCATGAAAATTGTTTTAGCCTGTAGTTGTGTAATTGGCCAATTAAGATATTTGGTCCTGTTTTTTCAGTCTGGATGGCTAAGTAGGCAAATACTGAAAGAAAGTATCATGGGAATGGTCTTAGGTCTAAATCAGTGGTTCTCAATCTGTGGGTCCCCAGATATTTTGGCCTTCAACTCCCAGAAATCCTAACAGCTGGTAAACTGGCTGAGATTTCTGGGACTTGTAGGCCAAAACACGTGGGGACCCACAGGTTGAGAACCACTGTTCTAAATGAATGATTTTAAAATGATGTTTGGGAATTGAAGTTAATTTGGCATGGGTGGGAGGTAAGGTTAAAGGACTTTTCTTTAAAGGAAAAGCTGTCTGATCATGACAGAAAGAGATGAAGTGTAAACATGTCAACCACTTTTCATTCAGAAGATGTTTGAAAATGGCAACAGAAAATCAGTTCACAGGGAAGAATCTGTGAGCCACTACACTCTCTCTCTCAAAATGAAATATTGTAGCTATGGGTGCATCTACACAGTAGACTTAATATAGTTCGACCCCACTTTCACTGCTATGGCTCAAGGCTATGAAATCATAGGAGGTGTCGTCTGGTGAGGCACCAGCACTATTCAACAAAGAAGGCTAACAGTACCTTGGCAGTGAAAGTGGAGTCAAACTGCATTAATTCTACACTGTAGATGCACCCTGCAAGCAAAATATTCATGTGATACAGGTCCTGATTTCTTCTTAAACCAAGAGGGAAGTAATTATCTCTTACACTCATTATTACAGGGTTAAAACAGTTTTTTCGTGTTATTCACTGTATTCATCCTACAAGACAAGAATGTGTGACACTTCTTGAGAAAGGACATCTATTAGCGGTTGCACCTGGTGGCATTCGAGAGCAGAATTATGGAGACAACACTTACAAGCTCATCTGGAGGCAGCGTAAAGGATTTGCTCAAGTAGCCATAGATGCAAAAGTGGTGAGATTTGTTTCTTTTCTTTCTCTCCCCCCCCCCCAATTTCTCACTCACTTATCTCCATTAAATGGAAAAGTCTATAATAGTTAAATTATTATGTCATAATGATATTGTCTAATAAGATATGCACACCACAGTTGGTTCAAATATATTTATAGAACAGGCAACTGTTAATATCATCATATACCTATATTGGTTGGTGATGTGTGAAGATGATTTTTTTGTTCTTCTTGTTCTTCATTTCCCCCATTTCAATTTGTTTGAAACACCCACACAAATATCAATAATAATAATAATAATAATAATAATAATAATAATAATAATAATATTTATTTGTAAACCGCCCTATCTCCCTGAAGGGATTCAGGGGGGTTTACAACATGTATGGCAAACATTCAATGCCAAGGCTCCATATGCATTTAAAAACACCAAATAAATAGATAAGCATGTATCTAATAAATATGAAGACATATCTATCTTTGCCTAAAACACCCACACAAATAGCAATGCTCCATGTGCATTTAAAAAATATGAAAGAAATAGATAAGCATATATATACTATCTAATAAATATGGAAACTTATCTATATTTGCCCAATCAATATTCTGAAAAAAATATATGATCAAGAATTCTCCCACAACGGAATCCAACAGACATCGACTATGAAGAAGACAAAAAGCTATCAAAACGCAATAGATTCAGAATGTAAACACTATTCATTAAAAAAAATCAAGGATGTTTCTACAATGTAGAATTAATGTGATGTGATATGCTAGTGCTTCATCAAACTGCAATTTTGGAAGCATTCTTTGGCAGAAAAGGCTAAAAACCTTGTAAAACCACAACTCCCATGATTCCACAGCACTGAACCATGACAGTTAAAGTGATGTGAAACTACATTAATTCTACAGTGTAGATGCACCCTAATTCTCAATGAGACATTTGGCTGTTGGCATGTTGAGTCACTCATCAAAACCAAACAATACAGAGACAGACAGACAAAGAGGACTTCTTTTAAAAGAAATTATGGGGATTTTTAAACAACCATTTTTTCAAGAAAACACATTGTAATTTGTCCAAAAACTTTAAGATTTTCATAAAGCATCACAAAATTCTGGGAAAAAATAAAAGGAATGGAATAAACAGCTATATACATTCCTTCTCTATAGAACATAAAATACACCCAGGAGCACCAATACAAATAGCAGCTTTAAAGGAATATCTTCAGCTGTAGAAGAGGAAAAGATAAATTAGTCCTCCCTACTTGCTGCACCCTTTATAATTATTACCCTTGCTATTTTAAATTGCTCACAAATCTAAATAATTTATTCCCACAGATTTCCAATTCATGTTGTCAGTGACGTACATAGACTTGTTTTTAAAAGAAAATGTTTTAATTTTTTTATCTTTGGTGTTTCTTAGCCCATCATTCCTATGTTTACTCAGAATATCAGAGAGGGATATGTCATATACGGAAACATAAGTAAGTAGAACTTTATACCCACTTAGAAATGTGATTTTATACTGCAATTTTATATGAGCTCACTTTGAATAATTTGTGGAAAGACCACAACCTTGGGCTGTAAATAATGTTAAACTCTAGTTCATGAGCATAGAAATTCTGTATGCTTTCCCTGCTTGAAGGTGATTAAAATTGGTACATACAGTGGTGAACCCATGCAGGTTTTCAAGTATTTCAGTTGATATCAATTTTGTTGTTTATTTTAAAATATTACAGTTTCAAATACAAAATGTATCTGCATTATCCCAATGTACAATTACCATCTGTTTTTAATTTCATATATAGGACCAATGCAATGGTTTTATGAGAAAACACGAATGTTAGTGTTTCCTATGTATGGACTATTTCCAGTCAAAATCCGGACACATATTGGACAACCAATTCCATATGATCCAAATATAACTGCAGCAGAATTAGCTGAAAAGGTAGGTATTTATTGTTGGAGATTAAAAGATATATTAACATTTAAACCCAGTTCAAAATGTTTGCAGTCCTCTAAGAATCCCACGGTTTATGGAAATCTAGTTTGGCTTTGTTTTGGTTTCGTTTATTTGCTCAGTTATTACCAGTATTTTATCTATGATAGGAAGGGTTCAAGTGAATTGGCTCCTATTAGCATACATCTGAGCATACATCTGTACATGTGGATATGTCATTGTATTTGATCTTGATTAAAAATGTAATTTCTGCAAAAAAAAATATGTTTTTCTTGATGGAAGCAGTGAGTAATTTTAGCAATTTTCTTCAGTCTCCAAGAAAGACTTTGAAAACCATGTTTTGTTAGATGTATTACGTTGGAAAGAGCACTACCATAGCTTTCTGAATTGCAGCTCCAATGTGGCCAAATCCTGTAACAACAAACCAGGGATGAGCTTGCAGCACTGTCTAGTTTGGAAAAAGTCAGCAATGCCATCAGCCAAATAATAATAATAATAACAAAGTCAGCAGACCTGATGGGATCCCTGCTGAAATTTTTAAGGAGGGCGAACCTGAGATGACACAACAACTCCACCAGCTCATTGAAAAAGTGTGGATGATCGAGAAAATCCCAGCAAACTTCAAGGATGCCACCATCATCACACTTTTCAAAAAGGGGAAAGAACACACTGCTGAAACTATTGAAGTGTCTCTCTTCTAACCTTCTACTGGGAAAATCCTTGCAAGAATCCTTGTAAACTGCCTTTTACCCATCTCAGAAGACACCCTTCCAGAATCTCAGAATGGCTTCCACCCCTGCAGAGGAACAGTGGATACGATCTTCACTGCATGACAGCTTCAAGAAAAATGCAGGAAATGAAATCAACCTCTGTACATGGCATTCATTGCCCTTGCAAAGGCATTCAACACAGTGAAACACATTGCTTTCTGGACCATCTTCCAAAAAATTGAGTGCCCTGATAAATTTGTGAACATCCTGCAGCTCCTCCATGATGACATGATGGCAATAGTCTTGGACAGCAATGGCTCCCAAAGTGACCCATTTAAGGTGGTATCAGGTGTCAAACAGGGATGTGTTATTGCCCCAACCTTATTTTCCATCTTCATTGCTACTTCATCTTGTTGATGGGAAGCTTGCAACCAGAGTGGAAATCATCTATCGGATAGATGAGCTATTTAACCTCAGCAGACTGAAAGCCGAAACCAAGGTTACAACAACATCTGTTATAGAACTCCAGTATGCTGATGACAACATCATCTGTGCACATTCAGAAGACCTACAAGCCACTCTAAACACCTTTGTAGAGGCTTATGAGAAGCTCAGCCTCTCATTGAACATTGAGAAAACCAAAGTGCTCTTTGAGCCATCATCTGCTAAACTCTCAGCAATGCCAGAAAGACAGCTTAATGTTGCACCATTAGAAAATGTTGACAATTTGCGCTACCTTGGCAGCTACCTCTCCACAAAAGTCAACATTGACACTGAAATACAACACCGCCAGAGCTCTGTGAGTGCAGCATTTTTCCGAATGAAGCAGAGAGTGTTTGAGGATCGGGACATCCGTAGGAAGACCAAGGTGCTTGTTTATAAAGCCATTGTCCTCCCAACATTGCTATACGCCTGCAAAACATGGACTGTCTACAGACATCATATGTAACTCCTGGAACGATTTCATCCTGCAAATCCTGCAAATCTCTTGGGAAGACAGGCGGACAAATGTCAGCATGCTGGAAGAAGCAAAGACCACCACCACCTACAGACCACTGCCATGACACCACATCTGGAAAACCATCATCCTCGTACTATGAGGGTCACCTAAGTAAGTAAAGTAACATTATGCAATAGACAAGGCTAACTTTTGTATTCAATTATGTATCTCAACACTTCAGGATCTTGTCAGATTCCCTCTTAACCGGGTTTCCAAATTTTAGTCTTATTCTGGTTTCTTGACTGCAATCTCCATTTTAATTAATGACTAATGGTAAACCCACGCTGTAGAATTAAGGCAGCTTGACTCATTAATCTTCATAATTCAATACAATGTAAATCATAGGAATTGTAGTTTGGTAAGGCACCAGCACACTTCGGCAGAAAAGTCTGCAAGCCCCATGATTCCATAGCATTGAGTTGTTGCAGTCAAAGGGGTGCCAAACAACATTAATTCTAGATGCACCTAATCAAAGTATGGAAAATTTTGAACTATGTATTTCTGTGTCTTTGTTATCTATTTTAAATATATGTAAATCAACTGTGTTCATTAATGTTAACTTCAATCTTGATTTTCCATTTACTTCTCTGATTTTCTTCTGTGGTCATTCCAAATCTTTGCTACTGATAATATGGTATAATATGCATACTTTGAATGGTTGATGTTCCTTTCTCCAGTTCCCATGCCTCTTGCCTCTGAATCCAATCCTTCTTTGTCTACAATATGTTCAGCACACAAGTTAAATACACAGTTTGATAAAATGCAGCCTTGCCTGACCCCCTTGTCATTTCAACAGGGGTGGAGTAAGGTCAACAGGGATGTACACATTAAAGCTATATCTACATCTATATCTACGTCTAAGCTGCAATTATAGTGTTAATGTATTTCTGTGCAACCTTTCACATCAAACAAAACATCCACCTACCTGGGAATAATACTTACCTGAAAATCTAAATGAATTCAAAAAGTTTATCTTTGAGTTTTGTTGTTGTTGTTGTTGCATACCTTAAAGTCAGTTGCAACCTATGGCTTTCTGTTTTTGCATGCTTTAAAGTTGTTTTCAATCTATACTTTTTGTTCTTGTGATTATTAATGGTACATATGGGGCCAGGCATGTAGCATGTAGCCGGGGGGGGGGGGGGCTCGAGGGGCTTCAGCCCTTCCCCCCCCCCCGAAATTTTCATGGTGGTTCGCGAAAAGGCCTTACTGGGGCATTATTTAAACTGTTATGTTTATTCATATCATGATCTGATCACCATACTCAATATATCCCATATGCATGGGGGTATTGGGGTAATGATACAAAAGGTTTGCTAGGCTAGACCCTCTTTCACTCAGACTCAGCCCCCCCCCAAAACTCAGCCCCCCCCCGAACCCCCCCTGAAAAAAATCCCCCCCCCCCCCCCCCCGGCGAAACGAAATCCTGGCTACGGGCCTGTATGGGTCTGAACATATTCAAACCTGTCACAGATCTTACTTTGCAAGATTTGTTCAGAAGGAAGTGGCTGAGAAAGTGTGAATTGCCAAACGAGGATCCAAATCCTGTTCTACACAGCCCCAAGTCCAACACTCAAACCACTATGCCACATTGACTTTCATGTATAGGATTGTATTTGGCCAAATGCTTAGATTTATTGTCCATATCATGGTTCTATGGTAAGTAATTTGTTAATACATTATGTGAGTGGTGCGTGTTTTTTCTAGAATTATGAAGTAGTGTCTCATTGTCTAATGTCTTGCTTCATATATTTATGTGATACTTAGCATTGTGTTGCCTGCCAATTTCCTGCACAGAAAATGTTATTTTCTGTAAAAACTGGGTAAAAATTAAATACAGAATAAGTTCCAAATTGTGAGTAGTTTTAAAAATGCCACAGTTTTCAAAGACCTTCACACAGCTAGAAGAAAATTGCTAAAATTAGTTATTTTCTTTGAAAAGAAGATTAGTGAAAAACAACATCCCTAAATCCTGTATCATCTCCATCTTCAAAACCTAGATTCCAATTTCTGTGATACTAAACCTATATGGGTGTTTTTTGTGTTTCTCTTATTTTCTCTTTAACAGACAAAAATCGCAATTGAAGCTTTGCGAGACAAGCACCAGAAAATACCAGGAAGCATACTAAGTGCTTTGGGGGAACGTTTTGAGATGCATTGCAAAAATGAATAATGCAAATGAAGGACTACATCTATACTTTCAGAATTGCTCATCACAAGGAATTTCAACATAAATATGAAGCTGTTGTCTCACAAATTATACAGGTTTTTATATCAAACTGGAATTAAACATTTTCATCTATTCCCACTCCAACTTTCAACACATGGGATTTTTTTTTATCAGTGGTGCAATTTTTTAAAATAAAGCTAATTGATGTGAATAACAACTCTTCAGGATAGTATCTGAAAAACTGTAGGCTGACCAGACTTTTCATGTATGCTAGACTCCCAATTAGAATGCTATTAGTGGAAAACCTGGAGAAAATCTTTGTCAAGATCATTTGATGTTTACCTGGTGGTGTGGCAGCAAGTGTTTAGGTTGACAATCTACACCTGGAATTGAACACTGAAATGTGTCCCTGTTACTTTTACCTAATCTCTTAGTAAATTTCAATCCCATTAATTCTGGTATCAGAAAGAGTCTTCTGTTTGAGTTAGGACTCAACACACTGTTTTATAACAGCTCCAGTTTTCATGAAATGGGAGGTCCAAAAGGTGAGGAGACTACTGTTTGATCCCTTCATGGACTATGATGCCCCTCAAGGTCCCATTTTCTTCCACTCTTATATTATTTAACTTATTCACATACATGCTGGGATATGTGATTTCAGGTTTTCAGGCTTGTTGCCTGCTGTGTTATGGCGGCAGTTAACATTCTCTGGATCCTTTCTCTCAAAATCCAAGCAAGTTGTACCTTTTCATAGAATCATAGAGTTGGAAGAGACCTTGTGGACCATCAAGTCCAACCCCCTGCCAAGAAGCAGGAAAATCACATTCAAAGTACCCCTGACAGATCCGCATCCAGCCTCTGTTTTGAAACCTCCAAAAGAGCCTCCACCACACTATGAGGCAGAGAGTTTCACTGCTGAACAGCTCTCACAATTAGGAAGTTCTTCCTATTGTTCAGGTGGAATCTCCTTTCCTGTAGTTTGAAGCCATTACTCCATGTCCTAGTCTCCAGGGCAGCAGAAAACAAGCTTGGTCCCTCCTCCTTATGACTTCTCCTCACATATTTATACATGGCCATTATGTCCCCTCTCAGTCTTCTCTTCTGCAGGTTAAACATGCCCAGCTCTTTAAGCTGCTCCTCATAGGGCTTGTTCTCTAGACCCTCAATCATTTTAGTCACCCTTCTCTGGACACATTCCAGCTTGACAACATCTCACTTAAACTGTTGTGCCCAGAATTAGACACAGTATTCCAGGTGTGGTCTGACCAAGGCAGAATAGAGGGGTGGCATGATCTCCCTGGATCTAGACAGGGAAGGCGTAAAGCAAATACGGTGAGAATGAAATAATCAGGAATTAAGGAAGTGATTTCTGAATGTGTTTTGGACTTGAACTTTGAAAATTCTTGATGGATTACCAAGCCAGCAGTGGCTTCTGGAAGTCCTAAACACCTAAAGGACCAACATTTGGGAGTGGCTACTTGCTTTGTTTTCTCCTTCAGATGCCTTTAAATTAGGTCAATCACTGTGGCTTCTCTATTATCTTTCTGAGCTTGATTCCAGATGAAGTCTGTATCTAACAGTGATATACTCCTTTATTACCTCTGGAGTGTGACTTCATATACTGTGTTGTGTTCCAGTGAACAGTTAAATGGTACCACAAAAAGGAGGGGGAATAACTTACATGATTTTTAAATAAAGTAGTTTTCTTCATCTGAAATTATGTGTAAGACTTCTTGCAGAAATCAAGATTATCTGTGAGAGGCAGTGGAGGTGGAAATGGAGCGGAGGAGATAAGAATTACTCATCCAAGTTTTGCTGACTAGAGTTAGGAAGAGCAAGGAGGGAGGCGGAGGTGGAATGCTAGGTGTAGTTGTTCCACCCTTAAAAAGGAAACTCCCTTTTTGTTTTGTGTGTTTGTCTCCACCACTTTGTTCTTCCTTTGTCTGGGGTCTCATCAATCTTTACTCAATAGTAATTCTGTTTATGAAGACAATGTATTTATTTGAAGGATTTTTGAAATACTTTGATATTGTACTGAAGAGTATTAGAGTAATATTTGTGGTGGAAAAGACTGAGCAGGAGAATGATTTCTTCACACTACCTTAACTACAGTTGGTGAAAATGCAAGTGCAAGCTGACTGATCTGTTGGAAGAGAAGGTGCAGCAGCTAGAGACCTGTGTGCCTACACTCTATCTTTAAAAAATTATATATATATTTTAAAAAGAGCAGCACAGACTCTTCTGGAAAGACAAGATACAGAGAAGGCCACTAGGCAGGGGACAATTCTCAAAGGAGGCAAATATTTGGAAGAATGTGACATGCAGAAGCAGATCTATCAAGAACTATGTGGCAACTTTGTATATAAAAATGAATTTCCAACTCTCCATAATCGGTGATTATGAAGCAAAGGGACAGAAACGAGCCATTCACCAGAGGCATGGAGATATGCTTGGAGGGCTCCAGAGATTGGTGGGAAAGAAATCCAAGAATTTGCTGGAAATAATGGCAAAACATTTGGACGTTTCCTTATTAATGGACAAAGCATTGGAAATAAGCTAAATGTCAAATTCTCAACACAGGCAGGCAAATGTATTTTAATAGGCATCAGTGAAACCTGTATATTGAGTCACATTATTGAAATGTAGTTGGGGAGGAGTATAATCTATTCCAAGTAACAGACCAAACAGGAAAGGAGTAGGAATATTATGTCTCAAAAATATGAGCACCTGTGTGGGGACTCATCACTCAGAGCACAGAAAACAGATAGAGAAAATAAGTGTTAAAGTGGTGGTGGGGGGGGGGGGGACTAGTTATATCATTGCAGGGATTTACTATAGGCCTCCAAGACAGACTAAAAATTGAATGATGTCCTATAGCAAGTTACCAAATGTTTAAAAAGGAAAGCTATAGTAGTAATGAAAGACATAGAGCTGTCTTACTCCAACCTGACACAGTCACAAATGGGGCGATGTTGTATTAAATTCACCCAAACTGGGATTGTGGCCCAAAGTTACCCTGAGTGTGTGCTGGAAGCAGGCCTGGGCCAAAGTCTCATGATTGCTTCAGCATCACAAAAATTAGAATGAGATCCGATGTGGTTTGGGAAGGAGAGGAGAAAATCTCATTGACTACAAATCCTGTGAGACCACGTGTATGATTTTGTCATAAGTACTTTTTAAAAAATTTAATAGCTTATTTTATTCCACTTTTAGTGAGACAGGTTGCATTAGGCACTTTCAGATTTGAGAAATGTAGATTTGATGTAATGATGTGTGGGAATGAATGGAAGAAAGGAAGTTGTATGAGTGGAGTTAATAATTTTGGAGACACCAGTATAACATTAAGGCCTGCAATGACTAACTATCTTCTTGCTGGATTGTAATTAAAAGTTGCTAATGACAGCTGAAAAGATAAACTCTGATAAGGACTATGACAATGGTTCTTTCAAGTAAAGGAAATGTTTGCAACATTCCTTATGTCAAGAAGTAATTCAACATAAGCCTTGTGTTGGTCAACACCAATCAAGAAGAGTCAATATCTGGCCAGTAAAGTGAGATGGAGCCAGGATGGAAGATGTCTATCATTAATTTACAGCTTTGGAACTACATCAGCAGAATATTTCTATAAAAGACTCAGTCTAATAATGCTCAAAGTGTGGCAGACTGAGGAGTCTGTTCCACCCGCTATGCTCTGCTCCATGGGAACAAGAGAGATCGTGTACGTATAGAGAGTGGCAGATTCGCATGGGAGCAGTCTGATGACTTTGGGGCTTCTTTCTCCAGGGAAGAGGAAGAAGTGTACTTTTGGAGTCTTAGATTTTGTGCAGGGAGTCAGGTTCTGCTGTATGGAAAATAGAGATCTGATCTTAGGGAAAGAGAAGTTTGAAGTTATGGATTTTTTTGGAACTGTATGTTGGCAGGCTGCAGGAAAGCAGGGTCTGGCCTAACAGGTGCTTCTCCAAGGAAGGAGAAAATGATATGGTAATATTTCAATGCCTGATGATGTTATGCATGTAAATGTGGTGTGAATGCTGAGTGAAAATGTAATTCTCCTTTGTTTGTTTCTTAGCCATACAATCGTGAATCCAATATAGTTGCATAGAATCTGTATGTCCAATATCTGTATGTCTAAATGTTTTTCTGTAATCTGATGTACCCTCTCACACTGGAAATTGCAATAAAAACAACCTATGCTTTCAAGTTATTGAAAAGTCATTCATGACAATTTGGCAGGCCTATATATAGCCCTGTGCACATGATGGGTAGCCATTGTTGACCAGGTGTTCAGTACGTGAGCCTCTTAGTATGTATTGCTTCATTTTTCTTTTTAGTACTATTGCTTCCCTTCTTTGTAACCTACATACTGACTTCTGCCGCTGCTTTATCATAACTAGTAAATATAGAAGGATAAAGGGGGCATCAGATATGATGGGAAGAAAACAATGGGGTAGTGAGACAAAGAAGTGGGGAACCTGTAGCCTGGGCAGATGCAGGTGACTTCATCTTCTGCTGACAGTTTGAACATTTCTTGCACATTGTTTTATTCAGTAAGTCCTATACAAAGTATAAATCCCTGTATAAAGTAAGGTTTATCAGATCCATGTGACTTGATGCCATGCTTGATCATTATTATCTGTTCTAGATTCCAACAAGCACTGTACTCCATCAGCATGTGTTGCATCTGAGAGATCAGACTTGACTCGCTCTAAAACCCATTTATTTGTGATTTTAGCAGTGATTTCTCTTTAGCCCACCGGTGCAAATTTGCCTTTGCTAGTGATTGTTGAACAAAACAGCTCATGCTTGCAGCAGTTTGCTCACAGGAGTCAACTACAGAACACCATGGCAAGAAACATCAGCAACTTTTCTGATGCCCACACTAAACTCAATAAGGGATTCAGTTTTATTAGTCCTTTAATTGGCCTGCATCTATGAAACACAGCTTCTCAGGCATGGGCAAACATTGACACAGGGACCACATTGCATTTTAAAATTTGACAGAT